GAGACTAGTAATGACCCATTGCACAGTCTGAGCTGTTGGCTTCTTGAGGTGAGCCATTTTTCAGATCCTTTCCAGGGATGGGAGATCATGCACAGACACTTCTATGAGCTTGTTCCACGATGATGGGAGGGCTCAGACAAAGGCAGGATGGGGTGTGGGTATCTGGGTCTGGGTCTGAGCACAGAGGTGTACAGGGAAGTCTTGGAGGCCCTGCTGGCCAAGGGGGACAGTCTTCTGCTTCTCTCTCTTGTCCTCTTCTGTGCTGTTTTCTTCCTTCCTTGGCCAATGTTGAGGTTTTTTTAAAGTCTGGTACAGGTTTGCATAACAGTAGGCAAGTGAAGACGTGTGGAAGCAGGATGAAGTCAAGGCATAAAGCAGGGTAGCTTCAGAGCAGACCAGACAGGACCATCAGCAAAATAAATGCCTCCTCTTCCAACAACTTCAGACAATGGAGACAGCCCAGCTTGCAAATGCACTATGTCAAGGGTGGGGTGTATGTGTGTGTGTCTGAGCCCGGGGTGTGTGTAGATTCTCAGTCTTTGTGTGTCTGCTTACAGTCCTTACTCTCTTCTGTAAATTCTGTTCAGTGCTAGAAGGCTCTTGCAAAATGTTCCAAATAGTGTGCATTTGAGGTGTTCCTTGAGGTTTTAGTGTGTGTATATGAAAGCATGTGTTTTTGTAAATGTGTGTGTATTAAATATGTATACTGTGGAGCCAGGGGCTGGCAAGAAATAGCCTCCTAACCTCTGGAAAAAATATGGGATAGGAAAGTTTGGGGTCCACTGGGCCAGGAATCCACATGGTCTTTGAACACCTACTTCATCCGCAGCCAACATCTCATTAGAGCAACTTAGAGAGAAGGCTGTTCTATAGTTCTTCTGGACAGACACAAGGAGTATTAGCTAACTGGTTTTATCTTATAAAGACTGCCAAAACCACGTTTGGGCTTCTGTTCTGACTGTTGACACCTTCTGACAATTGCCTCTGTACTCAACCTCCACCCTGTGGCCAATGACTGGTCATGACAAGGGCTGTGTGATATGCCTGCTCTCTCAAGAGAAGGTGGCTTGTATTTTAGGAACATGTACAAATTCAAGTTCACAGACATTCTATGAATGCTTCCATACATCCTGTCCACCTTACATTCATTCATTCACCTCAAACTGCCTTCACACACACACTCCTCTTCCATCCACACATCAGCTCATTCACCCATCCATTCATCCACTGTCCCATCCATCGTCCCTCCTCCTCTCCCTTCCTTTCCTTGCTAATTCACTTTATCCCCATATTTCACTCACCCTTCCCTTTCTCTCATCTTGTTTGTACAGTTGGAGGGAGGGCTTCTGTATTCTGCAGCAGCTCTTCCTTTATGGGACCCTGTGAGCAACAGAGGACTCCAACTACAAATCAATGGGCAAAGGATAATGAGTAGGTGATGTCTGCACACGCTCCCCTGGAATCTTACAAAGATACCCTTGGTGGGTGGGGAAGAGCGGTCTCCTAATTTATGCAATCTGCAAGCACTTTCAGAATTTTGTTCATGTACTACAGATTGGGCAGAGCTCCAGGACACTATTGATGTATCACCATCCTCCAGCTGCCCATGGGCCAGAGGAAGAGTGAAGACAAGCAAATAGCAACGACCACCTAGAATACCAAATGTTAACACACATGTGTGCATGCACACTCACAACACATTCACATACACTTACAACGCACACACTCACAAGGCACACAGTAACTCACATATATTCACATGCTCACTTACACCTACTCACCTACACTCACATAATACACACACACTCAAGCACAGAGAGACACACTTTCACATGCATACACATCCATGCATACAAATACACCCACTCACATAAATGCATACTCAGACACACAGCTATCATGCATACATTCACAACAAAACACACTTACACATACACACTCAGAGATACACACTCACACAGTCAGAGGCACACTCATATTCACACATACACCTATTCAGAAGCACAAACTCACCCACAGACCCACACACACTAACACACTTGTATACACATACACACGAACACACACTGCTCTCGGGGAGAGGCCTAATGAGGCCACTCCTGGTGCTGTTCCTTAGATCCCACATCTCTCAAATCACTGTCACTAACAAGATTGTCTTCTCCACTTTTCACCGTATGGGTGCTCCTCTCTTCCCTGTTCTCACAGTGTGTGATATAGAACTACATTGTCCATCCAGAGCTTTCCCCAGTCAGTCCGCAATCACTCATAACACCAGACCATTCAGAAAGCACATGTGTTCCTAGGGTCCCACTTGCTAAGGTATTTGGCTTTCCTGGGTCACCAAGAAACATGTTATCAAGATGGGGACTCTTGATCCAGATTACTTGACCTCCTTAACAGTACCTGAAATGATCTTTAGTTTGGAATGCTGCATGTCCACAAAATGACCAATTGTGAAGGTTATCTACATGATGAAATGTGAATTTAAAGAATTTACTGTTCTCTAAAGGAGTTCAAATATACTACACACACATACTTACACAGAGAAGTAATTTCTCCTATGGAAATGTCATTAAGTACCAACTCCTTTTCTGTAGAATTTGGTAAAAACAATCTCTCAGCCAGCCCTGTCCTCCGTAGCCCTTGCTGACTCTCCGAGTCTTTACTCACTGCACCCGGCTTCTGCTCACAGCACTTTTGGCAGAACTGGAGCTGAACAAGACCTGCTTTCCTTACTGCCAACCATGTTCTGCCCTGGCACGTTGCAAAGACACCTCTGCTACATTTCTGCTTCTGAGGCACTAAATGTAAACTACTCCAAAGTGTGGGGCAGGAGAGGCAGCACACTGCCTTGCTTTTGGCAGGAGGATTTTCTGGTGGACACAACCAGGAAAGAGTTCCGCACCTGCAGTGACCATAAATTCTCTTTGAGTCCTTTGTGTCATCACTAATTACCCTTCCAGAAGTGCTATCACTTGGTTCAATCACTTCCAGGTCCACAGCATGCAAGATGCAATATCACCACCTTAGGGCATTAGTTCCCTGCAACTCACTAATGCATTAGATCTCACCTCACTTAATGTCTCCAGATTTTTCTCCAATCTTTATCTCCTACCAGACCACCATGGCCATCTCTTCCTTCATGGACCTGTGCAGTTCAACCCACATGCACTGAGCTCTTGCACTGGACATGAGCCTGGTGAAGTTTCAGAAAGTCCAGCATCAAGGAAAACAAAAAGCATTCCAACATAAAGCATTTGTGATGAGGTTTTGAGAGGAGCCCGTGAACTTCAGAGGCTATTATTGCCCTCATTATTAAACTATTGAGGCTGGTGATATTCCTATGGTTAAATCAAATGTGGGCCACCCTCACTTTGCAATATCACAAAGTGTACATCTATTGCCAGAAATCATTGCAAATATCTATGTATTTAAGTTCTACATTGGTTAAATGCCAAAGAAGTTTCTAGGTGTCCTACTTGTATTGGTATAAATTCAAGGTCTAACAAACAACATCTTGATACACGGAAAAGAAATTGAAGTTGTCAACATTTCATTCTACTTGGATCAACCATCAACATCCATGGAAGCAGCAGTCAAGAAATCAAATGATGTATTGCATTGGGCAAATCTGCTGAAAATGACCGCTTAAAAGTTTGAAAAAGAAAAGATAGCACTTTGATGACTAAAGTGCATCTTGACCCAAGCCATAGTCTTTTTAATTATCTCATAATAATCTTATGAAAGTTTGGCAATGAAACAAGAAACAATGGATATGCTGAAAAGTGCCAGAAGAATGAACAAATCAGTCTTAGAAGAAATACAGCCAGAATGGTCCTTCGAAGCAAGATGGCAAGACTTCAGTTAGCTTACTTTGGGTACATCATCAGGAAAGATCAATCACTAGGGAAGAACATCACAGCTGGTAAAGCAGAGGGGCAACAGCACAGGGACAGGCTTCCATGAGATAAATGGACACAATAGCCTCAGCAATGGATTCAAACATGCCAACTTGAGTCCTGTAGACAGCACAGGGCCTGGCAACATCTCAATCAATCTGTTATATATAAAGTTGCCATAAGTCAGAGCCACTTCAACTGACAACAAATTCAAGATTATTTACTGCACATGTTCCTTAATGACAGACAATGTGTCGATTGATTTAGATTTTTCTTCACAATATATATGGCACCTAAAGAATACATTTTAGCTTATAATAACTTGGAAATTTCAGCTTCTCTGAGCTGTCCTTATTAAATTTAAACAATGTAATTACAGTTTCTCTACTAAGAAGGTAAAGACTTTCTTGAGGGCTGCCTTGACATCCTTGTTCCTGAGGGTATAGATGAGAGGGTTCAAGGTGGGACTCACTGTGGAGTAAAGCACAGCCATGCCTTTGCCCATCTCTGGGGAGTAGCTGGAGCCTGGGCTCAGGTAGGTGGAGATGACAGTGGAGTAGTACATGGCGACGACCATGAGGTGAGAGGAGCAGGTGGAGAAAGCACGGCGCTTCCCCTCGGCTGTGCGAATCTTCAGGATGGTGGAGATGATGTAGCTGTAGGACACCGTGGTGAACAAGAAGTTCAACACAGCAAAGAAGATGTCTGCCACAATTGTCATGATGTCATTCACGTATGTGGAGGAACAAGAGAGCACCAGAAGTGGAGGGATCTCACAGAAGAAGTGGTCTATGATGTTGGGCCCACAGAAGGTTAGCCTTGACATCAGGCAGGCATCGACCCCAGCGCCAAGCACACTGATGGTCCACACAGCTATGGCCAGTGCCGCACACACCTGGGGACTCATCCTGGAGCTATAGTGCAGGGGCTGGCAGATGGCCACATAGCGGTCATAGGCCATGGCAGTGAAGAGCAGCACCTCCGCAGCCACAGACCATGACAGGAAGTACATCTGCGTCATGCAGCCTTCGTAGGAGATGGTTCTCTTCTCTGCCACCAGCATCTCCAGCAGCTTGGGCACCACAGTGCATGCACAGGCCACATTCAACACAGCCAAGTTGACCAGGAAGAAGTACATGGGGGTATGGAGCCCAGAGCTGAAGGCAATAGCTGTGACAATGAGAAAATTGCCACAGAGGGCCACAGTGTAGAGAGTGAGGAAGAAGACAAAGAGGAGGACCTGAACCTGTGGTATCTGTGAAAATCCCTGCAGGATAAATTCTGTCACCCGAGTCTGGTTATTCATGGCCTTCAACTAGTCTGTTGAGACTCTTTCTTACTCGGCAGCTGAGCTGGAGAAAATCATATTACATCAATAGTCAGTATGGATATGTCAAGACACTCCCACACATCAGTTTCTCCCAGAATTTAAAATAAGATAGTTGTTGTTGTTGTTGCTATTTGCCGTTGAGTCAGCCCCGACTCATAGCGACCCCTCCTTGGGTTTCCGAGGCAGTATCACTACGGAAGTACGATTGCCCAACCTTCCTTCCAAGGTTATGTTCCATTAAATCCAGCTATCACCAGCTAACAGACCTCTAGAAGAAACCAACAGGTGCAGGGCAGGAGCACTCCCCTCTCCCCACTCCTCTGAAGGGTCTCACAATCACCTTCCCATGTGCACTCTCACCCCCACATGGCCTCTTTACACAGCAGTGAGGTGTCCCCAGACTGCACCCTGGCCACACCACATCCCACTCACACTTCTGACCACTTATGTCCCACTCAAGCCCCTGACCACTCATGTCCTGCTCTGAGCCCTGCAAGACCCAATCTGCTCAGAGGTGATGTCCATCATTTCCAGGAAGGCCTGGAGAGATGAATGGTCTGTGTGGTCCCACCAGTCCTGAGTGCCCAGTCTGTCTCTTGAGCTATCCTACTTTTTCTACCCTGAACAGGACTCCTCCCTGTCATCTTTCCCATCACTCTGCAATCAGCTGCCCTTGAAGTGAACTCCTTCCTCAACTAGCATCAGGATCCTGACATAGAGCTTGGGTCCTGGGGGTGGGAGAAGAATGGTGCCTCAAGGTGCTGGGACTAACCCAAGGAGAGGCAGAGGGGCAGAGTCAGGTGTAACACAGAACCCAGAATCTGGAGACAGAGCACCAAGGGTGAACAACTGTGAGGTGCAGTTGGTCCGGAAGCAGAACAGAAAGGTACTACGATCCTCCTTAGACTTGCACCAAAAGGTCCAGGGACGATTTTCTCCTGGCAGCAGAAATAAGCTGAGGGTCAATGGCAGTAGACACAGGAAGGAGCAGAGCAGGAGATGCCAGGGGTTTCCTAGATCACAAGCCACTGTTTCTGCTCCCCTGAGTACCCGGTCCTGGCACAATGCTTCCAGTGAGCACAGGGCAGGAGTCAGGGAGCTGAGGGGCAGCCACCAAGCCAGGTGCTGGAGGCGTCTCTTGCTACTCCCTTCCCCCATGCCCCATGGCTGTGGCTCCTTGCTGCCTTCAGAATGGAGTCGGGACCCCTCTGACCCTGTTCAGGGTCTTAAAATCTTTTCAAATCCATCAGCTGCATGGACCAGCTGCTGTTGCTGAATATTGTTGTTACTGGGTGCTGTGGAGTCAGCCCCGACTCATAGAAACCCCTCCTTGGGTTTCCGAGGTGATATCACTACGGAAGGAGAGTGCCCAACCTTCCTTCCAAGGAGTGGCTGGTGGGTTTGAACCTCCAGCCTCCTGGTGAGCAGTCAAGTGCCTTAGGCGCTGGGCCACCAGAGCTCCCTGTTGCTGAAAAGAAGAGTACTTTGCTGTGCTCCTCTAGCAGCCTCAGCCGAGGGGGTGCTACTGCAGATGTGTGCCAGTCACAGAATCCCATTTCTCACCTGCAATCACCACCAAGGACCATGTCAGAAATGGGCACTGGCTCAGCAGGTGCATGGATGTCTGGCCTGTTCAGAAGACTGCTCAGCCTCAGGCACTGCCTAAAGGCACACATTACACATGCAGCTAGAAAGAGTTGCATGGCATTGCGTGGCATCCTTTGAAATGGACAAGGTATCGGACCTGCACCCAACCAGAGGCATGGTTGACACACATGCAGACACACCAAGCCATTTTGGACAGTCGGTAAATTGTTTCCAAGAAAGTGGTGTAAGTGTTGCAGAACAAACCACAATGTTCTTTACTATTGAGAAGAAGCATCTGTTCCCTCCATCTCAAGGTCAGACAATGTTGCAAGTTCAGATTACAGGGAAGTGCGTGTGGATCACAGACACCGTCACCAAGAGTAGATTTGTCTATAAGCAAGGCACCTTTGTGAGGTTTCCTATCACAAGCACATGGATCCTTACTGTTGTGACCACGAATGACAGCCTCACAGTGAAGGTGCAACTCCCTCAAGACCACAGCCACAGCTGGACCCCAGAGCACTGCCCAGCATGAGCATCAGGATGAGTGAGCCCTGGCATTTCAGTTTTTGTGAACAAATAAGAGACTTTCATGTTGGCAGAGTCTCAGCAAGCGTGAGGGATATTGCCCATTTCTGAGATAGTCTAACTGCTGAGTTCTCTAGGACAGCATGGTATTAAGAGAACACTTGTGAAAATTGCTAAACACGTTGTCATGGTAATCACGCAAGAGATCAGACTCACTCAGCCTTTTCCCTTTTCATGTATGAGATCGCGGAGCCAGTGGTGGCTGGGAAGGAAGATCAAGAGCTGTTTCCAACACACTTCTTGACGTGGGCAGTGCTGTGGGGAGCAGGTTGATGGGCAGAAGGGCCCAGCCTGAGATTTGGAGGGGACCACAGCATCAAGTGAGGGAACAGATAACCCTACACACTGCAGACACGGGAAACCCAAGCTCTGCTCTCCTTCCTGACCCCAGGGCTGGGGCTGACCCTGGAGTGGATGTTGTGCTGATCAGCAGATTGATAAAATAACAATCTGACGCCAAGATACTCCTTCAAAGGGCAGAACCCAGCTGGGTACAAACATGACTTGCCCTCTCAACATCCAGGGCAGAACACGTGCAAAGCCATCCTCACAACTCATACGCATGAACTCAGTGAGGAGAAATGCTGAAACCTAAGGCTACCTGGGGGCTGGGAAGTGTTAAGTCACGGCAGATATAGACAGCCCAGTCCTAGTCCGGTGACCACACCCAAACCCATGGTTGAACACGAAGTGACATGAGAAGAACCTCAGAGCCAGCCTCTATCCTGTCCCATCCCCCCAAGTCAGAAAGGCTGCAGATACAGCAGCACCTACCTCTAAGGAGAGTAGTGCTGCTCTCAGCATTCCTGGCAGGTCTTCCAAGGTATTGCTGGGGTCCTGGAGAGGAGAGAGGGTCAGAGTCTCATAGCCCCACGCTTTCCAACTACCTGCCACAACCCAGAACTCAAGGAGCTGCAGCAACTACGGAGTGTGTGCCAGGGCCCAGAGCCCTAAGTGCCGCTTCCCTCCTGGAAGTCGTGTATTCTGTTAATTGTGAGAATAAAGAAAACTTACTCCCAAAATCAGGACAATCACTGGTATATAACCTAGGTGTGTGAGTCTGATTGTGTGTGTGTGTCAGTGTAATGTGTGAGTGTGGGTGTGCTTCTTTGGTGAATTTCTAGTGAGGCTTTTATTTTTCTTTACTGAGCACAGCATCTTTTGGCTTTGATATCTTAACAATGAACATGTCTATTTCTAGAACAAGAATAAAGTTTTAAAAAATGCATGTCCCATCAAATTAAAAGGATTTCCCAAGCCAAGAATTTAATTTACTCATCCTTAGACTTGATGAGTGAGATGTGTTTTGGTTCCAGTACTTCTGTGAAGAGTCTGTTTAACTTTTCCAAGAGTAAAAGGTCATGGTCACAGTAACCACTCCACATCCTTTTAAAAAGTGATCAATAAATGAAGCCTTCCTCCGAAATGCTTGCAAAGTTGCAGATGTACCTCACACTTGTGCCCATAAATCACCTCGGAAGGACTAGGGACACAAGCAGCGGACCAGGCTCCTCACAGGTGCTCCGTGGGCTCTGTGCTCGGATAGGCAGCAGCTTCCAGGTCTGAGAACTGCCTGCCTTTAAACCCAGGCGGCTCTGCAGTCTGATGTAACCAAGTGAGGCTGTCATCCTGCTGGGATTCTGACTCCTGATCCCTCCACTTAGAAGCCTCCAGAAGTCTCAGGGGCCTAGGAACTGGCCCTTGACCACGAGGGTCCCCAGGGCCAGCAAGGGAGGATATAAACCCCACATGGGGGCAGGATGGAATCTTCATACCTTCACAGGCTTCCACTTGAGGTATGGCCAGTCACATCCAGGTGTTGAAGAAGGGTGGAGGCTAGAGCTGGTGAATGGGTCTGCTCTTCAAAGTCCATCTTCAAAGGACGATGGGCAGGTGTCTATGGTGACAACAGCCAAGTGCTGTTCCCTTCATGGAGACCAGTGGAGCTTCTTGGTGATGACATAGCTAGATCCCACTTTACATACGTGAAAAATGATGCCCACAGAGAGACCTTATCAGAGCTGGGATGGAACCAGCAGCTGTTTGTCCCAGGCCACTAGAGGGCAGAATAGTTTAAAAGCAAGTAGGGAAAAGGCTGGTAATTCCAAGGCCAGACATTGTTGTTGTTATGTGCCATCAAGTCGGACCCAACTCATAGCAACCCCTCCTTGGGTTTCCAAGGTGATATCACTACAGAAGTATATTGCCCAACGTTCCTTCCAAGGAGTGGCTGGTGGGTTTGAACCGCCAGGCTTCTGGTTAGCAGTCAAGTGCCTTAGGCACTAGGCTATGAGAGCTCCTAACACCTGATAGACCCTGTGAATAGGCTGGAGTGATGGACGGGGCAAAGGTGAGTGTGTCACAGAGAGAAGACGCTGGGACAGAGGCTCCTCAAGGCAGGCCCAAGACAACACTGGTGACAGGTGGCTGACCCAGTTTGAGCGCTCACAGTGCACCAGGTACTGTTCCAAGTGCTGTTTGTGTGTTAACCCACTTTATCCTGACAGCACATCTATGAGCCCAGAACCCACTGCCATCGAGTTGATTCCAACTCATAGTGACCCTATAAAACAGAGTTAGAACTGCCCCACAGGGTTTCCAAGGTTGCAAATCTTGACTGAAGCAGACTATCTCATCTTTATCCTGTGGAGTGGCTGGTGGGTTCTAATCACCGACCTTTTGGTTAGCAGCTGAATGCTTTATCCACTGTGCCCCCAGAGTTCCCACATCTATGAAGTTAGTGCTAAACCCAATCTCATTACAGAGAAGAGTCTCCCAAATGCCTCTGAGGGTGGTGCTAT